CTATGATTATAGCATTGAACATCGAAGTGGTAGCAGAATGAAACATGTAGACGCGCTAAGCCGAGTTTCATGTCTTATGTTGGAGGACGCATTAATTCATCGGCTTAGACAGGCGCAACTTACAGACGACTGGATACGAGCGGTCAGAAAAGCATTAGAGTCAGGCCAGTATGAAGATTTTTACGTCAGTAGGGATGTACTTTTTAAAGATCCCGTTAAGGAGTTAATCGTGGTTCCTACATTGATGGAAGAAGAAATAATACGTACAGCACATGGAAAGGGACATTTCTCAGTTGTAAAAACTATGGTGGCTGTGGAGAGAACATTTTTCATTCCACAATGGCGTTCTAAAGTAGATAGGGTTATTAAAAGTTGTGTCAAGTGTATTGTCATTGCGAGTAAAAATGGGAAATAAGAAGGATTTTTATCTCCAATAAATAAGGAAGATAAGCCATTGGGGACATATCACGTAGATCATGTAGGCCCAATGGATACAACAAAAAAGCAATGCAATTATATATTTGTGGTAGTTGACGCCTTCTCCAAATTCATTTGGCTATACCCAACCAAGAACACGGGAGCAGAGGCCGTCTTTGATAGGCTTAAACAGCAAGCGGCAGTGTTCGGAAATCCAAAAAGGATAATTTCTGATCGAGGGGCAGCATTTACGTCGGGTCTTTTCAAGCAATATTGCGAAAGTCAAGATATACAACATCTTTTAATTGCTACCGGGGTTCCACGGGGAAACGGTCAGGTAGAGAGAATTCATAAAATCATTGTTCCCATGATCGCTAATGGGTAGATTATCGATAGCAATCGAACTTCAGTTGCGTTGCTAGTTGCCAAAACGATATTACAGATGGCAACTGGCAACTTTCAACTGACAACTGCAGTTGCTACATAATGTGTATACAGGCGACTACATTTTAGTGGTTACTGGGAATGTTTTTGGAGCGTATTTAGGAGCGAAAATTGAAAAGTGTGTCATATATTTAATAATTCGAACGATATTAACATTTTGCAATGCAGTTTGCTTTTACAGAATATGGTGAAAATAACAAACCAATATCTTGAAATTTTAGTTCCCGTGGACAACGCCCTTTTGGCGAAACAAAAGCGAACACTGATTGCAATGTTTTTCCTTTATCAATTGAAGCACCTCTTTTAAAACTACCTACACACCCAGTTTTCCAAATTAAAGTCATTGCTGTGGCACTTCCTTCTGCGAAAAATCGAAGATGTGCGCAAGCTTTTATGAGCGGAGGTATTGAAGTTGAACGAAGTGGTTCATCTGTTTATTAACCAATTATACTACAGCTTCTTTTGGAAGTCCTCAATATGCTTTGAAAATGAACACAAAACGATAACAAAAGAAACCATTAACTTTTGCTTACAGTACACGCGGTAGCTCTAGAGGATTGGAATTATCCTTTAAGTGTCGCTTGATTGAGGACGCGTTCATGCATATCTCTTCCTCCTAAACAAATAATTGTGATAAATTTAGCTTTATTTCTGTCTTTTCTTTAAAACTCTTTATTTTAATAATTTAATTTTACTCGCACAGCTTGTTTGCAGCCGCTTGCTGGTTGTTGAAGTGTCAAATTTCGATTATCGATAGCTCTACAGCAACTGACGATAGTTGCCATTCGTAATACAAATCTTCTTTCCAGTTGCATTGCCAGCTGACAACCGAAGCGTGGCTGTGTTGCCATCCGTAATCGACCCATAAATTTAGTCAAGATAACCCAAACAGTTGGTACAAACATGCTGACAGGGTACAACAGGTGATTAATAACACCCCGCCGAGAAGCACAAAGGTGTCACCATTCAGAATAATAACGGGTATGGAAATGCGTGTACCGCAGTTAGGAGATGTTCGTGAGGTTCTGAATGAATTGGCAATCGCAGAGTTAGATGAGAGCCGTGATGAGATTCGAAGCGAAGCTCAACGCAATATACAGGCAATCCAGACAGAAAATCGTAAGACTTTTAATGCCAAACGCAAGCCTGAAAGCGAATACGACTTAGATACTTTAGTAGCCATTAAGCGAACACAGTATGGGACAGGTATGAAATTAAGAGCGAAGTATTTAGGACCTTATAAAGTTTTGAAAAAAATGGGGCACGGACGCTATGAAGTGGAAAAGGTTGGGGACCATGAGGGACCGCATCGTACGTCCACTGTAGCGGGGTATATGAATGGACCTAGTCATCCGAGCCGTATGACAATTCAGGATGGCCGGATGTGGGATCCTACTTAAATGCAACTCTGCATCAAAACACGACAACACTAACTGAACGATAGGAAGAACGAAGCTTGGGTTAACGGACTGACGAAGGGTCCATTTGAAAAGTAACTGAGGCAAGACGGAACGCCACGAGTCATATTTTAAATTAAAAGCCAAAACTTAACCTACGATGTACTTAACTTAAAACTAAAATTACGATCTAATTCTAAAACTATCTCTAAGTCTAATTAAATAAGTGATAAATGTACACTTTATTGAAAATAAAAGTTAAATGAATTAAACTGGCTTGCACCACTTTAATTGACTATTGGAATATCTGACGAACCCCACATAAATGTCAAACGACAATTGAAGCAACACAATTAAAAACTTTTGGACGGGTGAAAAATTTTGCAGCGGAGGCAAATATAATTTCACAGATAAAATCACTTTTAAGGAATTTAAAAGTTGTAAACGATACCGCAGATCGTGGAGTGGCATGCCAAAAATGAGGAGCAAAAACAAGCATTGTTTGTGACAGTTCGGAAGCACCGAGACACTACTCCAAGTGCGAGAAAAAAAGATGTTATTAAACACTTGCACCGTGTGTAATAGTTTTATGTCATTATTATATCTGAAATAAACACAAGGGCTTGAAAAATTCATCGAAATCATTGTTTGCTCTTTGGGTATTAGTGGTATGATAGAAAAATTAATTGATTAACTCCCAACACTGCCTCCGTGTGTATTTCTGCCTTAAAAAAGCTTCTCACAAAAGCCATTTCTGTTCGGAGGCGGCGTAAAGCTGTAGGTCCGTGGCTTTTTTGTCACAACATCAAGACCCACACCACAAATTGAAGGAGAAGCTCGGCCAAACACTTGGCAAAGGTGCATGCGCCAAAATATTGTTATTATACTATTAATATTTGCAATGACTAGGAAAACACTTGGATTCAACATGGCGTATGAGTGATGTTTATCTGGTGATTTTTTTTATTTGATGATTAGTAATATTTAGTGATGAGGTCCACTATTGGTATGAATTATAATGTGATCTTAGATGTATTAAGCATATGCTCACTGATTAAAGAATAAAAAAAATTATTGCAAATATTCATTTTTTATAAGGAAAAACTTAGTTACTAACTAATTAATATATGTATTTAAAACTAACTTATCAAACTAATATAAACTGTGTTCTACTAAACTGATATTTGGGAACCTACCTACGAAATTTCAACGAAATCCGTCAAGATTTGATGAAAATATCCCAATTTTTTTATAAAGATGCATTTAAAATCTGCAGTTTCCGGAAAACAAACAACAGCGTTGAGCGACCTCTAAATCTTGTTCAAATAAGCTGAAATTTTAGAAGGAGTTGTCTTCCCTATTATTTTCAAGAATCCGAACGTTCCCAGTCGAAATTCAAAAAAGTTCAAATTTTGAATCACCCTAATATACATATGTACATATAAAGCATATACAGCAACGATCATAGAAAAAGTTTTGTAATCTTACGCACTTCAAAAAAAGTGAGAATCACTTTTTGATTATTAAAAACTAATAATCACTAAAAAATAGTGAGCAAACATTCTTGGATCCAACAACGTCGACGTTTAAAAACTGGCATTTTAAAAAT